GTATTATAAAGATATAAGACGCTGTTTCCTTTTTTTTTTCAGCCACATCCCTATCCGAAATAGGTATCGAGTGTGTAGTAAAGTGCCTATGAGGTTCTCCGGACGTCGTTTAAATCTAAAACTATATACAGGACACACTCTATATGTACACGCACACGCTACTCGCTCGATTTCTTTAAATGCACTCTCGCGCTTATGCATTTTATCGCCCCGATAGCCGCACACATTTCATTCTTGCTTTAACAAAGAGCGCAAAATTCGAGCCCAGCGACCGCTAATCCTCTACGTACAGTACATACATTTTCGATTTCCTGGCCTTCACCGCCGTTTTCTTCGAGCCCGCAATGACGTTGACGTCAACCGACTTCTCGCGCATTTGAAAACGGAAATCATATCCATTCGGAATTCGGTTCGGAATATACTCTCGATGGAATAAACATTTTTGTTGGAAATGATGCAAGGTGGAAGGGTACGTCGCAGAATTCGATTTTCCGATGTCGCGATAAGAATGTTGCCTTGAAAAAGAGACGGTATCCTGTCGAGTTTGCAGTTTATTTTACATAACTGCCTCCCCTCGAGGAGAACAACTTGATAATTTAATTCTCTTCAAACGTTGTATTAGATTATTTGAAATTAAAATCTGATTTAGCCTCTAATTATCGAGGAAATATTAATATAATAATAATATGAAGAGAAATATATTAATAATTGCAAATTATTAATTTTTCTTATAAAAGCAACAGATAAAAAATTGATTCTTTGTGTTGAAGCGCAAAGTTATTATTTTAAAAGAAATAAAATTCCTGGTAGACTGGAGAAAATAAAAGCAGATATAAATAGTATCGTCGCGTTATAAAAAGAGAGGAGAAGATATCGAAAAACATCTTTTCTTAGTCGTTTCTCAGACGCGTTGTCGAAGACACGGTGAAGGCCAGCAATCGTTACAAGAAAAAAAGATCGCCTAATATACCTACGATATCGGATCATCGAGTATAAATAGCGTAATAACACGTCGCTCTATCTTTACCTAACGTCATAATTATCTTTATTAAAGGACATTTAACTCGTGACGCTTTGCTTGATTGTTCTGTTCATATCACCGGCGGTTCCTTAGCACCCACCCACGTCGCCGACAATCCGCGACGGAGGACCTCGTCGGGATCCTCGACAGTCGACGTCGACGCATCATCGACGACGTATATCGATTCCTCGAGGACGATAACATTACGTCGTTATTCTCGCTTATCGCACAACGATTATTACGAACCCGTTCGACGAAGCTAAAACCGTTCGATTCAGCGGATTTCTAGATCATGCGTGTCCACGCAGCGGAGAAAAAGATAGACTCGAGGAGAGAAAGAAACTGTAGCGTGTGTGGAATCTCGGTCGAATCGATTAGCCGCGAATTTTTATCCGCGGCTACATGTGCTTTACGTGAGAATGTGGTACTATTGCACGTGCGCGATCTGTCCGAGAAAATTATATGGATGTGCCGAATAATAGCGCGACTCTGTCGAATCCCATCGGTAATCGATACTCGCGCAATATATATTTTCTTATATATATATGAATAATTTATACGTTAATCTAATATTTTATTTTGGAAGAGGAGATTTTCCTCTCGGAAATTGGAAAAACTTTTTTTTAGATAATCGCCATATAAATGTTCTAAAAAACGTGACCTACCTTGTCCTATTATTTAATCAAGCCTCAATAAAAGTGCTCCATTTGAAATTTCTCGGAAATACCGAGCAATTCCGCAGCGAAAACTCGCGCGTTCGCGGACATAACGGATTATTGGGGGGAAAAAATGCTGCGCTACCCGTCTCTTTGCGTAATAATTGTCCAACGTGGCGTTGTGAGTTATCGAAAATAGTTGGCTGAACAACTACCGTATACCGAGTCGAGTACCGTTGGGAGGCGACGTCATACGCGGATTTATTGTCCGGCAACGCCGATCGCATTCCATCGCCAGGATGTGATTCCCCGTCCTCGCCCGTTGAATCGGCTCCAATCGGAACACAATATTTATAAAGCAATATATACTGGCAGTTCTCAGTGATTTCGATTCGACAAGTATAGCGTGGTTACGAACGAATATCTCCGTGCTGCTCGTTGACCCTTAAGTAGTCGATGGCATTCGAAAATCTACGTTTCTCTTATCTGCGAATAATTTTTTTATAGAATCAAGATGTGAAAAAATTGAATTTTTTAAATTTTCAGTTTAATTAATTTATATATTTCAAGTTTTTAATCTTTTCATAAATCATATTTTATATAAAAGAAGAAATTGTATAAAATTATATGTCATTTTCTTTACGACAATTTTGTTGTAAATAAATAATTTTTTGGCTTTTCTGCTAATAAAGTTTATTCATACACTTGTAATAAATTTTTATTACACTATAAATTGCAACTAAATGAATATTGTCAGACACATTCGACTCGTCGCGACTGCTTAAGGGTTAAGATTCGATTGCCCTAAGATCTTCTCTACACATACAGATTTCTCTATGACACATTTACGAATTACCATTAATATTAAATTGTAAAACGTGCTACACGTGTCCGCGAGATACCAATTAATCGCGTCTATCCCTTTGAGACTTCGCTATACTAGGAGGGAGAGCAAGATGAGAGGAGATCCTTCCCGATCTTTAACACCGAAAAATGTCTTGTCGAAAATGCGAATTCGATGAAAAAATGCAAAAGTGATTTTGGCTAACAAAGCTCCTCGTTTCTTTTTCTCTCTGTTAAAATTGAAGTCGGTAACAGCGCGTGTTTAGGGACACTTCCGTTTCGTTTGATTCCGAAATGAGATAGAGTAACGAACAAATCCGAGAGTCGAGAGTCATTTAAATGGAAATTATCGAGAAAAGCTTTCGAATCGAATGCAAATCGCCATGCAGATTGTATCGATCAATACGTTCATTTGGCCCTTGAGAACGTTTACAAGTTTATTAGGCACGTCATATATATCTATATTTATTTGCATTGTGCGACTAATTGAAGTATGCAGCTAATAATAACGGAAATTACGACATGATAATAGTATATTAACATTAATCGATAAACTGACAATTATATATGTGTATATAAACAGGACTTTGGTAAAATTAAATAGTTACTTTTACAAGATTCGCTGTAAATCATTACAGAGTCAAGAATCGCTGTATCATGATATCGCAAGATATAAAATTGATAACTTAACTTATATATTGAGCAACTTATCGCATAATCAAGCGCATATCCATTTTATTATTTCTCATTGACATATCAATAAAATCAGTAAGTTGAAGTCATAATATGTTGGAGAATCGAGTGTCCCTATGTCAACTCGTGTCCCTGTGTCAAACTCGTTTAAAATCTCGAAAGTGCGAGAAAGAGAGATAGATAGAGAGAGAGAGAGAGAGAGAGAGATAGAAAGTATGTATACATATGTATATGTATGTGTGTACGCAATAGTGAAAGATGTGTCGAAAGAGTCACGCAAGTAATCTTTTTATATACATTAAATAAGAAATAAATAACCACTCACATACGATAACGAGCGTTGACAAGCGCGCGAATAATGTTACACGTAATAAACTGTACAGAATGTTACAAAGAGTCGTCAAATATGTATAATATTTATATATATAGTGTATCTATTTATATATTTATGTGTATATATATATATATATATATATATATATATATATATAACATCCTCGCGTGAAAGGCTCAACGAAAGAGATTACGAGATTCTTGTAACAAGACTTAGATTCTCGCATGAAATTGCTATCGCGTGCAAATCAACCAATGCTTATATAATCTTTATTTAAAAAAAAACGCATTTCTTATCGCTACGATCTAATTAACAAAATGTACAGACTTCGGCGGGAACCGTGCGAGCAATGGACGCCGAAGCATACACAATTTATCGTGTAATTATCGTGTAATTTGCCAGAATTATCAGAACATTATTTCCCACAACTGACGTTTCCTTAGAAACCCCCCCGAGTTGAAGTAGTGAGAAATAAAAAAATTCAATTTCGCGAGTACAATTTTCATCATAATTGAAAATACATCCCACGCGTATAAAACAATGTACGTTACACTTTTCGTGAGTTTCGTTCTCTCAGAAATTAATTCTTTGCTTTAATTACGATACGCAAGAGTTATAATGAGATTTTAAATTAAAATGTTGCCATGAAAATATTGATTTCGTTCTATTTACTTTGGACTCTCCTTTCGCTCGGGGTTTGACTCTACATATTTTTCGCTTCGTAGGAAAGCTTTGATTTTTTTTTCTGCCGTATTCCAACTGAATTTGTGGTGTGTTAAATTAAATGGGGAAATAGTGCGCTATAAATACTTCGGCTCCACGTCGTATCCTGAAAAATAGAATTCGCGAAACGTCCTTTCGCGAAAATTGCGATGCCTCGGCCGGTCCCCGATCACCAAATAAACAGCCAACAATTAAACTCTCGCGAGTACATCGAAAGAAGCTCTAAAATAATTCTGCTCCAACGAGGCAGAACCGCAGAAAATTTGCAAAGATATCTCTCGTTCGGTCGGCAACGTCGTATACGAGACAAAAAAGACAAAGAGCATTTTCAATGTCACTGTTAAATACTCCTTCTTCAGTCATCGAGACGAATATAGATGTAGTTTAATGCTTAAAAGGAATTTCAGGCATTCGTATGGTTGCATCATGTAATAATCTCCAAATCGATAACGATGAAATGGCTCACACTAGATGACAACAATGAATGGCAGTTTTATCAGGCAGTGTGATCACGGGACGAACTAATTAATTTAAGTATAAATGGATGATGTAGTTCCCAGCGATGCGTTCAGTTGCATATGTATGGAACGAGTTCGTCCGATTATTATCAGTTTTTTTCTCACATGATAGAAAAAATTATATAAACTAATATTTACAATGTATTTTTAATGCAATGTTATACAAAAAACAAGATCCAAAAAATTATTAAAAATAAAATTGCTTCGTGACAATGGTCCTTCATAATTTATTTACGATTATTATTGCAGCAATATATACCTCCTGTGTATATCAAATAATTTATTAATTCCTTGTAAATCAACATTTAAAAAAAAGAAAAACAATTTACATGAAACACGGAACGACTCATATGAAAGAATCTTGTACGATATATATCTTTTTCGAAAAGCTTTTTCGAACTTTTGATTATTGATACGTATCAACATCATCATCGAATGCGTGCAGCAAATACATTTTTACAGAGAATAGAAAATTCCCGCATTATTATCCACGTTTAATATTCCTTTTCGTCGAAGTGCAACTTACATTTTTAAATCCAGCGTATGACACAGCCGATGCGCTCGTATCCGAGAGATATCCTGTTACGATCGTCCTGCGCAAGGACGCGGGACATTACGGATTCTCCGCGATAGCATGCATTTCGAATACGCAAACGCAAATGCCCCGAGTATAAATAATAATGAGAATTTCAAGTGAGAAAATTTCCACGGCAATTTATAGGTATTTCCCATCGATCGGTGGAATTTCCTGGTCAAATCTCGAAATGCCGTATCGCAAAAAATCTCTATTGTATAACACATGCGCGAGCGGAAATCACGAAAGAGGAAAGTCGATCGCGAAATGAGAACGCGATAGATCCGATCTCCCGCGCTCGGTTTCACCGCAGGTGAAATTAACGCGTCCCGCATCCACATCCGTTTCCGTCCAGCGCAGCGTCATTAACTCTTTCGTTCCTCCCGAGCGCTTTTCAGACGAGATGAATATTTGATTAACTTTCATCTCAAAAGAGATCGTATTCGAAAATATTACAGAGGGAAAGATTAAAGATTCGACTTAAAAAAAAAGAGAAAAACAAACGCAAATCTATGTCAAAAATAAGAATGCAGAAAGGAACCTTTTCTAAATATGGGCAGCAAAAATACTCTGTACATTTGTTTAATGCTCTTTTCGCAGATGGTCTCTCTTAAAAATATCTACAACTTTTATAGAATTATTTATTTTGACTTATGAGAGAAATATGACAGTCTTCTTTTTAAGTCAAATCTTTAAATATCACAAGTCTGTAGAGAATATCTAATTCAATCAAACAATATTTCGCAAAATGAAATATTTTCATTTATTAGATTTATTTCTTATTTTAGATATTACTTCCTCAATAATCATTTTAACTATATTATATAAAGAAAGAAAGAGTTAATGTCCGGCTGGTAAGATCGAGTATCGTGTATGTGGACGAGATACTTTTGATAACGCTACCATATAAAATTACCATAATTTTACTTCAACACCTATATGTCGAGATAATGTGGATCCGGTAATTTCCACTACATCTTCTATGATATATGTTTGTATATAAGTTTCATTTATACACCGACTGGTGATTGCAATTGTCCTTTCCCACTCGCGGAAATTTGAAAATTCTCGATTGAAGGCTAGCGAAATCCTGGCGCATGTATTTCTATCAACTGCCCACTTTGAACTCCAATTTCGATCAATAACGTGCAAATGTAGATTGGTGCGTCAGCAAAATTTTCAACAGAGTAAACTTACACGCTCAAATGAAATGTATCATATAAATCACTCCGATTATTTCATCTAATCTATCTGACAACGCGCAGATTTCGCTAGCCGTGCCAGAGAAATCACTCCAACGCAGCTCGAAAAAGAAGAAAACCATCGATCGAATCTCTCGACGCGCTCGGTCGGAGAACGATAATACCTATCTAAGCCTAAGTTACGCGTCGCTGAGATTGGCATGTACTTACGCATTCCAGCTGCTGCTCGGTGTCGCGAATCATTCGCCGCGAATTCGACCGCGATGAACGATCGTCAGGACGATCCTGGATCCGAGTGAACTCGAACGACCGATCGACCAACGACGATGTTCACCTGAACGCGGCTCCAACGACGACGGTTATCACGGCCAGGATCACCGCTACTGATGCCGTGCATCCGCAGGAACTACCGGCCGTGGGCCCCGCGTCGCTGCTGCGAGACACTTTGCTGCGCACCAGCTGACCTCGCTCGATCGCGTTCGACTCGTCGCTGTCGGGATCGACCGGCGCGCCGATGTCGTCGTCCTCGCTCAGCAGCATCGACAGCTTGTTCCGCAGCGGCTTCTTCGCGCAGGGCACGTTCGCCTCCTCGTAGGGCCTGAGGATACGCGGATAGTGCACCTCGAGGTTGTCCGTGCCGGGCAGAGCGCCCTTGCTGTTGCCGCACAGGGGTTTGAACGTGCCCGCCCGAGTGGCTTCCTGGAAGCTCTGGAAGTTGGACTCCCAATCGTAACTGACCAGTCGTTCTTCCAGCGACATGCCCGCCAACTTTGGCGGCTCCTCGATCTTTACCGGGCTGGAACCCCTGCAAAAATCGAAGTCATCTTCCGTCAAGTCGCTGTTATTTTTTATTTTATGTTTTATATTCCTGTTTTTTTTTGTATTTTATCGTAGCTCTTCTAGTATATAATCTCTCTATTTTTCTATTCCTCCATCTCTTAGAACGTTTAGATATTTAACTGGCAAGAGAATGATCTTATATGAATTTAAAAAGTAATTGTAACAATCTATTGAGTCTTTGATATTAAAAATATAAAGGTTAATTTTAGATATAAATTATTTATAATGTATCTGGCAGATGTTATGTAACGATGGACGGCACATCTGATGCTACGTAAATATCACTCATTAAGTTAATGACACCAGGTGCTTTCGTAACGTCCTTAATAACCAATCAGAGAGCAAAACGTCGCGTAATTACCATTTGCATATAAACCGATATATAGCAACGTATCTTAACGCAATGTATCTTATTAAATATTCATTTTTCGCGCAAGCAGTTTATCAGCCGAAACTATAACGATATTTTTAAGAGATAATAAAAATATAAATGAGCTAATCAAAAATGATATAAGAAAACTCGTTCGAAAAAAAGCATATTTGAGGCACAAGAGTCTGAGAATTAATTTCTAAATAAGCTCCAATTAATTAGACGATTCAAACTGAAAATATATTTTCAGCAAAATTGTAAGAATATACGCATCTTTTCGTCTTCTTAACTGGAGAGACATAATAATTATCACACTATGTAATTTTTTATTAACGTAACGGTTATAAATCAATGAAAATGTCAAACTTACTGTACTAATTTCTGGATTCCCAAGCTATGCAGCACTGTTGGTAACGAGGGTAAAGAATAGCAGAGGGATAACTCAATGGGAGGATAATAGAGAACGGACACTAAACAAGTCTCTTCTCTCGGTGCCAAGCCGCCGAGCGTGATGGCCCCTCGTGATTCGGACGAGTACGTGCATTCGGCGACCAAGTGATCACGCTGTAAAAAGAAAAATCGCCTAACCGTGAACAAGCGCTAAACCACAAGAGAATCTTAAAAATTTAAAAGCTCGCCGAGAAAAAATTTTATGTTACATGAAATTGTATTATATAATGCGGATAAATTTCAATTTTTAAATCAACATAATGAGATTACATTCGCAATGTTTTTTATTATTATATAAAATAATTTCGTTACTTTATTTTATTTTTTATTTATATGCTTTTTATTATCATAAATTTAATATTGTTTTTTAATTGAATTTTGTTGCATTTTTACCCTATGTTAACACGTAATCGCATTTTAAACCCTGCCGTTCGAGTCCGTTCAAACAATTAAACTCAAGTTCATGCGTCCTGCATCTATAGCATGTCGGCACTTTACGTGATCAAAGCTTATACTTATTGCACGTTAATAAACTTTGTAACAAGCTCATAAACTTTCTGATACGTGCTGCAGGTTATAATGCAGCGAAAAGTACGTTCGCGGCAACATAAGCGAAAGGCGTGCAATGTAGCGGAAAAACAGAACAGAAAAATAAGAATATATTAAAAGACTGCGCTGTGTGAGAAGGACGTAAGTTACTTGCGAAGCGCTTAAGGATATAATCTCGGATTACTTTCGAAGGAAAAATCTCAGAGAGTTTAAGATTCTCCGCAATTCTCTTCCGTTAACCGGAGATATTTTATAATTGCATTACCTCTCTATATCACCGACAGATAAAAACTAGGTTCAATAAATGGCCGATAAATTGAATCCTGACACAACAATTAAAATAAACTCGAGCCTAGAGTATCCAATATCCCTTCAAACAATAATTATCTTTAAAAGAAGGAAAAAAAGAGTACATTCGATATTAGACAGAAAACAGCTGATTTCTGTCAACGCCCGCTTGACTCTTAACACACGCTTGAGTTGAGAGACTTGTACTTACCGGATATACCTTGACGGGTTTCTGGAGCTTCCGATACTCCTGATACTCGGGATCGTAGTTGGTATCGGCGGCGATCGGGGGCAGTTCCTCGCCGCCGCGGATCTGCCGCAGGCGGACTTTTCTGCCGAGCTGATGGGTGTGCATGATGACGGCGAATATGTTGATGCCGCTGTTCGGTATCTTCTGACCGGTGCATTCGGCGATGCAGTGGCCCTCGGAGACCACCTCGGGCTGGCCCGGCGGTATTATGTGCCGCCAGTTGGGGTCGATGCCGACGCTGAGGATGCCGGCATCGTGGCCGCGCAGCCGATCGGTGTAAAGGAGACGCAGGCCGCTGCTGTCGCTGATGAAGGAGTCCCTCTGCGGATTCGCGTAGTGGGTCTCCAGCATGAAGTAGCGCGGCCCCGTGTGCGGATTGAGCGCGTATCCGGCCTCCGGCGGATAATTAAAGCCCTGGCGAAGGGGGAGAGAAGGGAAACGATGGATTATGCAGAAGCCAGGCAGTAAATAAAAACAGGACCGCGGCTCTCCGGTCCGGTTCTTCGTCGGATCTGGTCCGGTCTGATCCACGCCGTCCCCTACCCCGGCGACGTGTATTCCGGACCCCATAATCGCTACATGCCTCGATCCATCAGCGCGGACGACTCCCGATGCAGAAATTGTCGCTTATGAAATTCGTTTCCTTATTGGCGATGCGCGCAGACCGCGAATTACGCTCGGTTAATTTTAATTTTCCGATACTGATGACGAGCGAGATAACGATTCGGTCGCTTCGAGGAATTGAGCGGTAATCGTCGCTTTAATAAACGCTCCTAGATTTATTATTAACGCGGCCCGATAATTTCGATTATCCGCGCCAGACTCTTGTTTGTTTTGTTAATGAAATTTCTGCTTTTAACTTTGGACGTTCAAATTCAGATCCGGTCAAATCATCCTCCTCCCGTTAGTATTTCTATCATAGTACATACTCTCTCCCCGTCGTGAAAATTTCATTCAATATTTATTTTGCCCGACATCTAAAATTAATATTAAATTTTTTCAGTACCAATGTCGTGATTTTTAAAAATATATTATTCATTAATTTAATTCTAAAATAGATATAAAGGGATGTAAAATAAAGATGAGAGTAAATGCACTCGATGCAACATTTATCTCGACAAATATTTAAAACGTGTGTTATTAGCATATACACGTATACTGCTAGTTAATGTTAATGTTACTCATCATTTATACTAGATCACTGAATTACTCGTTATACATGAGATGCTCCCGACGCGTCTCACGATCAGTTACAACTTCGCGTGGTATTCGTATTACCGATAACCACGAAGAAACAAGTTTGTGGTATTCCTGTTCTCACATTGGTATGCATTACACCGGACTTGAAATTATCATGAAACTCCGAACGTGTCTTATACGCTCGTGCATAATATTTGATAACGTATCAAAGTCGACGTACAAGAGTTTACGTGTTAAAGAGCCGTAGACATTTTCATTAAGGAACAAATCGTCAATTAAAGTGTCAAACGCAAGAAATTTGAAACGAATTGTTCACGTACACATTTTTTTAAAGAAACAAGACTTTAATCGACTTTAATCAATTATCACATCATTTTATTGCACAACGATTCATCTCGATACAACCATTAGATAGTTCCATCATTGACATCATAGATAATTAGAATTTTAATTACAATCCAGAGCGCGTAATCGATAAAAAAATCAATAGTTGAACGTTTGTATTTTATCTGTGCCTTTTGTATTTTCGCAGATTTGCAGATGAACGCGCTCTAGTCGCGCAAAATTTGTCAACGATGGAAGCACTCGAGATTCTCTCTCGTGTGTGGGAGTGTAAGTGAAGTTTTCGACGTACCTCAGAACCGAGACTCCAAGTGGCCGCGATCGTGTTGCACTGGAATGCGGGTTTATCAGGAACATAACAGGCACTCCCGGACATTTCGGCCGCGATTTCCAATTGGGCTTGATCTCCACGGCACTCGTACAGGATCATGTGATGCAGGTATTCGCGGCTTCCCGGCTGAATAACTGGTTCATACTGAAATACAGAACAGACGTATACGTTCATAACGAGGATTAATGTCGAGTGCATTTCGGTTGTTTTCTGCAATGTCTTGATAATTCGGAAACAACGCTACATATGTACTATTTCGCGTGCTTATTAAGAAAAGAATATTGATCGAAGAAACACGTCAAGTGCGAGGGGAAGAGGATATTTTATATAAAATTTTCTCTATTTTTATTTGAAATTTTTTATTTGAAAACTCTATGATATATTATATTGATTTACATAAATATTTAATCCAACTTTGCAATCGAATATTCGCCATTTCAAAGCAAGACGAACATCGCTCGATTAATCGGTTATTAACCATCGATATTCAATAGAATATCGATAGAAAGAGGAAAATGTTTCGCAGCTCAATAGACGTCATTTCTCGCAGTTTAAAGAAAGTTGCCGAGGTGTAAAATTGGAAAAATCGGGCTAGGACATCGGTCTCTAATGTCGGGAAAACGTGCCGCGTTTTAATTTGTTTCTCCAACAAATTAAAGACTCGCCGATATATACCATGACCATTCAAGCTCGTTAATCTAGAAATACATTGGTCGATAAAAGTTCCGCAAAACGCAAAGGGACAGTTCCCGTTTTAAGCATTTGAGTTATCGCAAGTGGAACGCTAATCGATTTCCCTTCTCCGGATGCTAAGAAAGACCCGAGATAGAAACAGAATCGCAATCGCATCGCGTAGTTGGGTCACGTTCGATCGAGTTCGAGATTCAGGTGTCGGTTGGTCGACTGGCGATAGATAGAGCGAACTATATTAGCCAGTCTCGTCCCAATGTTCTGTTCGGAAACTCTCGAGTACGGATGTGAATATGTTAAAGATTAAAGAAATAAAAAGTAAAAGATAGAATTGTAATATCAAAAATAAAGAGAGTCTTCTTACAAACAATTTGATATATTAGTGACGGTCAGTCAGTTGATTCATTTCGAATTTCCAGCAGACGTCAAATTTCAACATCGCGTTAAATAACAAATCGAATAAAATTCCAATAGGGTATGACTGAGATTTTTTTCAAATTATCAAGAGTTGTGTGAGAGAGGATATGATTCGAGAGATATAAAATGGAAATTGTTTCAAAATACTTCTTGATCAAATTATTTACTGACATGAAATGGATAAAAATGGACGAATAAAAAATTTGAAATAAAATTTAGACCAAAGAAGTAGCTTATTACATAGAAAATTCTCTGAATCAAATATTTCATAACATTCTTTTCCAATTATTTTTACTATAAATGTATAATAAAAGTCCGTAATATCACGTTCATTCGGCTTGATTTTCGTTGGGATGAGCGAAGTAGCGCGAAAAACATTAGCATAATGTAAAGTGCATCCGCGAGTCTGTCGACAATAAAATATTCCGCGCCGGAATATTTAAAGTCGTGAAAACGCGAGTCAGCAACCGCCCGTTTTTATCCGCGTATGCTTTCGTTGGCGCGGCCCGATTTCGATTTTTAACACGCAACTTGGATTATAATCGTACGCCTCCGCATCGAAATGGAACGGTGTATTACATCGACGTGGACCGATACGCAGTGGTAATACGAGGTTTACGACCGACTGCTTTATCACTGTCGCATTTATCGATGACATCTCGTGCATCGATCTGTCATCGGCGCTGATGGCGAAACCGACGACCGGAAACGGCGAAACGATCTCACCTACCGCATTGATCCTGCCATCCTACAGATCCGCCCAGCCGCTACATTTACGATGAAATTTCATAGCCGAATTAATCGATCATGCTCGATAATCACACTCGTGAATCGCTTTTTCAGGACGGCTTTTTAATGAAGCGCGCGATTATTTCCTTCTTTTTATCTACAATATTTTATATATATAAAAGGCATATGGAGTGTTTGAAAGACGTTTATGGTTCATTACAACACTTGACATAATTCAAATTAATTTCTAATTAATTAATACATTTATATAGAACGCTCTCTTTCTAATTTAATTCTGTTTAGATATGAAAGAAATCATGTTGACGTTTTTAAAATGTTATTTACGATCAAAATATTATTCAAGAAGGAAAATTGTGAATTGAAATAAGTCTTGCTTCTAATACATCAGAGAGCGGTTTTTGAAAAAAGGAAACCACGTCCCGGCTACGCGATTAATCATCCGATGTAAAATATCGTATAACCTCTAGATTATCATTTTGCGCGGCATATTTATCGGACGGCTACTTGACGAGGCATCTCGAGACGCGAAAACACGCGAGGCAGAAGAATATCTCCCATATGAGGCAGGAAGGGGGTGGGAAGGGGGAAAGGAGATGGGAGGGGCGAGTCGGCAAACTCGACGTGCAGTTTCTTCGGCATTACAAGAGCATCCACCTTCGCTTTAATCAAGTCGGAGAGCGGCGGGCGCGCGCGAGCTACCGTAAACGGGTTATATACCTGGAGGAGAGAACTCACCTTCACGACGTGGTGTTTGTGATTAATCTCCGGCATCATCAGGACACGGCACCAGAGCAGCATGTCTTGCTGCATGGGTAAACGAACCTGCACAGCAATTCGAATGGTACTTCGTTAAGCGAGTATAATTCCACGCGAAATTAACGGATAGAGATACATTGAAACAATTGATACTTTGTATATTCGATATTGAAATCACAAGGGAATATCGATAGGACGTTTTATATATCCGATGTAAAAACGATTAATATATATATGAGCGAAAATACACACATGCCTTTTAAAACATTAAAATGTAAAATGACTGATAATGTAGTTGAAGCAAAATTACGAAGGCACGAAAATGTATTGCATTATAAATATCGATATCATGTTCATTTACGAAAGAGATTACAATTTTTAAAAAATTCTATAAAATATATAATGGAAAAATTACTTTAGAGTTTTCAGTTGAAATAATTTAATTAAATACTGATTTTTTATAAAGAAAATATAAAGTATATGTTTAGAAAAATAAATTGAAGCAATTCCATGCTATTTTTAGCCGCGATGTCTTACATTACACTACTAACATCCAAAATTAGGCAACTCGTCCGAAATCTTTTTATCTCACGAATGTTAGGAAATTATATCGCTGGAACTCTGTTTTGAAAACAAGCATTATACACCGTATCTTGAAATAATTGCCACTTTATAAGTACAAAAAGTTTCTTTGCTGAAACGAGTAGCGCAAGAAGTAGAGAGGAAAATTCGAGAAACTTGGCTACTTAACGCATACACACTAGTTTAATGGTTTGTTACAACATGGTAAGAGCAGTTAAACGCAAATATATACGAGAAATTCATTACCATATTTTCCGACGCCGCGTGCGACTTACATAACAAGGTTGCAAGTTGCTTTTATGATATACGAGCCCATTTCGCTCTGTCTCAAAGCGACGCTTTCCACGCCATGCGACTATTTTGCGCCAGTTCTCATGCACGGCCGGCTGCATTGTGTGCACGAACGCGTTGCGAGTTTTTCGGTACGTATAACACGGAATAAGAACTGCATCTACCGGCGTTAGTCACATTACTTGTTTTACGCTGTTCCGCTCGATATGCAAGCCATATTGTACGTGCGAACTCATTTTGCTCGATCTCAATCCTTTGCTATATTTTAGGCATCTCTTAGCCATAATCCAACTGCGCACTCAAAAAAAATAATCTTGCAACTATAGCAAAAATTTTCCAGGTGCGAAAAATTAACTGAGGCAGATAAACGATTAGCAAATGTTGTAATATCGTATATATGTTGCACGTAATCAATCTAAATGACAGAGACAGAATTTATATCTGAACTGTTTGTGAAATTTAGAAAGGAAGTTTTTCTGTGGCGTCTATCCATGTTATGATCAATCTTACTTGATATAAAGTTTGGCTGTGGTACACAGAAAATACTAGCAGCAAGAGACAAATCAATATATAATCCTGATAACTTAATATAGTTTGTATAACGCACCTATCTGTCTATCTCTTTTTGACAATTAAATTAAATTAAAAATTAAAAAAATTAACCGTTTGCGGTTAATTTTTTTATGGTGAATTCTCATATATGTATCGTAGAAGACAGAATAAATATCCATGCAGAAATGAATATCAAATATTTATCCAATGCAGTGATTAATATCTAACAATAGGATTTAAATTTTCTAGCAGATATTGCTAGAATGTTACTGCTATAAATTCTAGCTGTGACAAACGTGATATTCTATCAGATAAAAATAGCGATAAATTTTAGTTGCGACATCTAGAAATCTATCTACATTAGCAAAACATTTTTTTGAGTGTGTATTGCATAGTAAAAAATAAAATGTTCATTTTAACATTTTTCACTTGTCCCAGAAAATCCACTCTAAATTTTATGTTAAAATAACTCATTCGTCGTATGTTTCTTAATGGCAAACTCAAAATGTTAAATAATTGACATATTTTATATTTATTTTTGTTATCGTGATTTTAAGTGTAATGTAAAAATAACATAAAAATTAATTAAAAATCCAATTATTGTACATGAAAAAATAGTTACAATAACTCGTAAAAATTGTTGTAGGACATTAATATATAACAGTAATTGTTTTTACTTAAATTATTTGTAATAGAAACATTTGATTTTAGTAAATTTGATTATTTTGTATGTCAAAGTTCAAGATTATTTGAAGATTCACTTAAACTTTTCTTAGAATATTAAATTGACTTTAAGACATATTGACTGTTAAAATGATTCTGTTAAAAATATCCAAAATAATATTCCATTTCTAAGAGAGATATACAAAGTGTCAAATTATGAAGTTGACATAAATGTAACACATGAAAACGTTATAAAAATAATAACATAAAAGTTGTATGTTAATTTTACATTAAAGTACTAATCAAAACGTGGAAACACAAGAAAATTTTAACATGTGGACACACAATTTTATACTGTGTATACATCAATGTCTCGACATGAAATATGAAAACATCCCTTAATCACAAAATTTTTTTAAACTTTAGCGCAGTATCATGACAAATATTGTACACAGAAAAAAAGGACATTCTTGTTTCGAAAATATATTTAGTTTTAACATGGAAATCTTGAAATGAGATTATATCGCGTTAATTAAAGAAAAATATAATTGCTTGAATAATTGCTTACTTGAATGAAGCCATTTTATAGAATTCAATCGAGAAAAATGTATTCTTACGATATAAGATTTAATTTTCTTGAATGGAAAAGAAACAATGTTAGAAAATAACATTTTTAAATCAAAGATTATAATTTTCTTAAAGTAGAATTAAATAATTATATATTCTTGAGGTGACAATTACAATAATAAAATAAGACTATAATATTGTTAATATTTAAAATTATTAAATTCTTCTAAGAAGATTATAAATTGTTGCGTATATACGAAACAATGAACGCGTTAGTTATAAGTATATAAGTTTTGATTTGACACTTGTTTTTTTTCTGTGCACAAATTTATTTATTCATTATTAAACATAGTGGTAGCAAATACTGATTTTTCCGGAATACTAATACATAATTTGCGCAACTTTGCTCAATTATGCTTCTGGTTCTGCGACAGAATTACACGCATTAAGGCATTAGTCGCGCTTGTCCCACGTGTACATCTCGCGTCGGGGCATCTACAAGTCGGGGCTCGTAGTCTGTCGAATTATTCACGGACTTTCGTGCATCAATGGAACTCGGCAGCTTTGCTGTTGCGTTGTGCATATCCCGGTAATACGTAGAAGCGAGGGAAAGCGAAAGGGAGACGGGTGGGTCGTTTTCAAACTGCCCGCCGCGGGGCGTAAGGGCGACCCGTATAGCGTTCGAGAGAATTACAAGATTCTCTTTTTCGCGCATCCCCTCCTACCTACTCCGCTGCCCTAAGCGCTCGAGCCATGCCGTCGGATTCTCCCACGCCCTTACGCGAAATTATCGATGTCGAGATTACCGGGAAGGACGAGCGCGTTTATTGTTTTGCGGTCGAGCACTAACTGACGGCCGCGGGCGACTCGGGGATTTTTTTTTTTTGACGGATCAACGGCATGACGCGCTTTCCGACTTCTTGCTGCTGCCAGGGACAATTTCCTCCGATCGATTGAAACACTTTTTTTATAAAAAATTTTATAAAAAATTGCCATAATTTTCAATATTAAATTTTGACAATTTTTTTATATCCAAATTTAATACAGTAAATTTAAAGGGACATTTAAATGAAGGATGCATTTGTATAAATGCGTAGCGAGAATGCAAAAACTATTAACAAAACTGCCGGCAATTTCTAACAAATGGCGGAGTATCGCAAAACCTGGAGAGAACGATGCAACGTAAACCCGTTCCTCTCATCTTCTTTGTGACTATTCTATTCATATTCATCGCGGCGCGATACAAAAGTTATTCAACCGCTCGGCAACTTTCGTGTACCGAGTTAAAAAAGAACTTTTCGCGATATTCGCGCAGGAAATGTAAAGCCAGCGATACTTTGAAAGATACCGATATCTCTTTTTCGCGATATTTCGCGATATATTTTCATGTATTTAAGTGCTAAATAATTTTGCAATCTCTTTACATCTCATTCCATATTTAAATGAAGCAAAACAAACTATATATTGTTAAATAGGAAAAGAAGAGTCAAAAAGTATAGCTGGAAGGAACAAGACTTGCCATCCCGATTATTCTGCTACAATAATTGTAACAAATTCCTCGTTAATGCGAGCAGAAGCCGGCGAAAAATGGCGGAGAAATTCGACAAACTGAAAGGTTTATACAATATTCGAGATCTGGAACACGCAAAAATGTATTCGGAACCCTCGAAGCGCACGTTTGTCTCAAACGATATTACACGAGCTAACATTTCCGGGTCGTTTATCAGCATCGTTCGGCGAATGATCTTGCACTTTTTCGCGGGCCAACGAGCGGAATACGAGTCGTGGCCCGATTCCGGTCTCGATATAAACTATAAACAGCGCAGCAGGGCAGACGGTGGAATTAGCATTGTCCGATTTCCAGCGATAGCGTCGACCTCGTAATCTACGACCCGGCGACGCTAATGAACGAATAGTTTTTGCCGGATGTGACCCGGTTAAGATTTATGCCGCCATAAATTCGGCGCACAATGCCGTCTCTCTCTCTCTCTCTCTCCTCTCTCTCTCTCTCTCTTTAACAACGGCTCCGCTCGCGTTCGATAAAAATCCAGTACGAAACGTGCGCGGATCGAATATTCATCTCGCACGCACGATATACGCGATCTACACGCACGTGTCTACGCAAGTGACGAAAGCAGAACCCTACGATGAGAGTTTTGGGATAAAAAAGCTCATTCGCGTCTCGGATAAACGAATAATCCGCCGATATCGAAACGATATCGAGAGCGCAAAATCAATCTTTATTATGTTCATGAAAGAGTTCTCGATTTGAAATTTAACTTCGAAATGAAGTAACGTTCAATTAACCGGATAATTGTATAAAAAATTGAAATAATTTTATAATTTTTATATCGATTAATTCCAGGTACTTTTTTGAGTTGAATATTTCGGGTTTTCTTTCTTTCCGCTGTTTTTACCGCAAGTCCTTAGTATGAAATTATATATTCTTGAACTAAAATTAATGTTGAGTTAATAACGAGTTAGCAACGTCGATGATTAGCGTTAATGATTTCTCGGCAAAGCCTGAATAAAGTAACTTTGGTTATCTTAAATACTTTCATGGAACCCGGCTTTGAAGCTTCCCTCCGTGCAAATCGAGTCCAATATCACAACGCCAATGGCAGATCCACTTTCGTGAACTCTAATTAAAACTCTTTAATCGTCTTTGTTCGCGCTCGCGAATTTCTCTCCGCGGTCGGGATGAATATTAACTTTGTTCTTGTTTCTTGTCACGTGCCGTCGTAATAACGCGAATCGTAATAAATGCAATATGCACACCAACTGCTCTCTTTCTCTCTCTCTCTCTGTTTCTTTCTCATTTCCTTTTTTAATTATATCAAGAGCGAAACGAAATATTTTCTCCTTCGGATAGTTCGTTACGTATTTATCTCGACGGAACGTTTTTATTGCACTTATCGCGTGGAATGTTAATTTTTATCTCACGGCGCATGGTCGTCTTACGTTTCGCAAGTATGCGAAAAATTAAAAGCTAAGAAGATGAAAAAGTTTTTCCCCACCTGTTTGTTCAAAATGTCCCAGATCTTCAGCGGTGGCTCCGCGTCCTGATTACGCGAGCTTCGTCTGGGCTGCGTGTCCCTCTGCACCAGATACAACGGCCTCGAGCCTCGCACCGCGCCGTGATCGGGCAGAACCCCGGCCGCCGACACCGGCTCCTCGACATGATATTGCCAAACCACTTGCAACGTGTCGTTCTGAAACACAAAGGACCGCCCCGAGTCAAGAACGGGTCTCGTTCCGCGCTTTTTGTTGTCGAAAAATATTGATAGAGAAACAAGGCCACAAAGAGGCTTGCGCCTTTATACATTCAAGTTCGCCATAAAAATCGCTGCTTCCGCAAAGAAGGCGGACGCGAACAAACGGGCTTCTCTGGAGAGCGAAGATTGCGCGCTCGGCTGCGTCTTTTAATCAAACCTTTCGAAAAATTTACGATCGAAAATTGCGCCAAATTATTTTGCGAGACGTTTCTAAAAATTGCAGAAAAAAATGCAAGCATGAATACATCGATATTTCTCTCGCTAATTTAAATTTTGATAAAAATAACATTCTTTTCTAATAGAAATATAATTTTTATATATCAATTATAATTTATATATTATTTTATTTATATATTATAATTTTAATGTATTGTCATTTTTTACAATACAATTCTTCAATAATTTCTCAGGCTTAAAAGTCCAGATTTGTCCTACTTCTTATGTAATCTTGGACAGCTTAAGCTTTCCGGCGCCCTTAAATTCGTAGGAAATCAGCCCCGACGCTTATCAATGATCTGCGGCCGTGCTGCGGGCATTCGCGATTTAATTCACCCTGAAAAGAAAACCGACCGAGGGTGGCCGCGCGATATATCGAATACAAGCGACACGTCCCTCGGTCTGCTTGTCGCGGTTGGCCGCGAAGCGTACACGTGTCCAACAGCGCCAAACTTGGGGTCGCTTTTGCACGCGAACGAGCCACTTACACATCTTGGGGACAATCGCCTCTAATTGAGGAACTGGCCCGCAGGCTTCGTTAACCGATTCATTCCAAAAAATGTCGCTCATTGAGTCGCTATTCTCGAGTTGCATGAATAGAAATAAATAAATATAGTATAACCGGATTTACGAGCTTGCGTTAATCAGAGTTATTTTTGTGCTTATGTTAATATAACATGTATTCAACGTTAATGTTTGCACGTAACGAGAGATTCTCTACCGCTTTTAGTCTTTTATCGATCGATCTCATTTAATAACAGGATGAAATATGAAGCAAAGTATACGGAAACTGAAGAATAATTAAATATAAATTTAAAATATCTGAAAAAGGAAGACATATGTGTGTGCAAAATGAATGAGTGTTCTTTTACTTTTTTAGCAATTACGCATATTGTTTAATTCTAATTTGTACGGAAAAGTGATGCACTTTTTAAATATAAGAACGCGTACGGAATAAAAAAATTATTAATTGGATTAATTGGATTCTCATTAGAAGGATAAAAAAGAATAATAAACATATTTCTAGCGTACGTATTAAAATACGTTAAACAAATTAAGACATTTATTTGCAGAGATTTGCTCAAATCGCGTTACATGCAAAATATTACTCCGAGAATATTAATATCGCGGAATTCGCATCCATCATGTTCTCGATCGCTATCGATTCCTATCTTTACCGTCACTAACATATCGGAATCCAGATTAAGAGTGCGCTTCGACACTCCAGACACGTCTCGGCGTGAAGAAAAAAATTGTCGGCGGAATCACAGAAGTCTCGCGCAATCGACGTGCAAATTTGCAAGCCTCTCACGTGTCACCTATTCACGTTCCTCGATAATCGACAAGCGTTCTCCTTCTCCGAGAGGGAAAGACTTCACATTGTCCGTTAACTCCACCGCGTACAATCATTGGCGCACTTACAATTGTTTCAGAGTCTGTTCTGAGACAATCGGGCGCCCGTTTTCTTCGCTCGGATCAAGGGAGAGCGGGGATAAAAGCGACCCAGATTCGACGGAATCGAAAGATTCTCGGGGCCAAGATGGAAAATCGATTAAGGCAAATGGGCGCGTTAGAAGGAAGGAGGCGAGAATCACGCGATTCATCTTCGGTCGATTCTGGAGACGTTCTTTGACTACATTATACATTTTTCGTTGTCCCCTCTTCGATCAACTGCCGATTTTCTTGTCAAGAGTCTTTTACACAAATATGTCAAAACTTTAACATTAAATATAAAAACATTGCAGATTAAAATAAATATGTATATTATTTCCTCCCCAAAATAAATTTCAAATAAACTTTATTTGAAATCTTGAAAAATTTATGATTTATTTATCCAGAAATAAATCCAACAAATATATATAATAAATACATCTTCCGCTTTTTCTTTCTGTCTCTATTTTCTTCGGATATAAAGTTTGTAATTAATCCAACAAGCTCCGATATTTCATCTTGACATAATTTCCCATTTTATTTCTTACAATATTAAATATCACTTTTATATTATATTTCTTACAATGTTAAATATCATAATTTTTAACTGTGCAAAATAGTTTAATTTCTTGGTCTTGTAATCTCTTTATTAATGCGCGCTTTAATTAAATTTTTCTAATTCAAATCTAACAAATTAAATTTGTTTTATAAAATCATTCGTAAAATGCTACCGTTAATTTAACTATATGACACATTTTCATTAAATTATTCTCCAAGAATTTTCCCTCTTATAACAAATAGTCTTCCTTTTATCGATTCCGATGCATTCCTATGCAAAAGTGTCGGGAAAAATAGTAGCTCGTGAATATCCTTGATCGTCGAGTTCAAAGGATGCGGTGCTATTGTAAGATACGAGTCTACCATTCTCGATTCGAGTAAGCCACGCGTTCGATCTCAGAAATCCCGATTTAAAGGATCCGCCTAACTTGCTGCATCCTTAAGTAGGTCGACAAGGGAAGAACGGTGCGGAAAAAAAATTCTCCCGGAAATAGGAAGCGATGTTGACGCTTATAGAGATCATTAAACTAGAATATAATCTATGGAAAATATAAAGATGCCTTAATTAGCACGAGAATATTTATTAGGGATATTTATTAGACGCAGGAAGTTACGATATAATGTGTATGATGTAATAAAATCATAATGAGAAGTTGTACAAAATGAGAAGAAATTATTTATAAGAAGTTAAAGTTTCAGATAATATCATAAACAGAATTACAAAGTCTCGAGTCTCGTTATCAATTAGCATTCTCATTAAATTATGCGAATAACACTCGGAAAGTTTTATACTCTTTTATGATAAAAAATTTAAATCTTAACAGACGAGAAAATATAACCGTTTGCTAAAGATTTTAAAACTCGGGGAGAGATATATATTTCCATAAAAAGTATTCTCGGCAAGATATATGGATGAGATATATAAAACGACGAATCTTGTTTGAGAAAGATAGGCTAGGTAACTTTGCACGACAAGATGTAAGCAAGAAGACAAACGGAACGGATTTGAGATTCGAAGACATCCTTCGCTAACTCAAGCAGCGTTTCTTTCGCGGAGCAACTTTGTTGTTCGTTGTTCTCACGAGCCGTAAATCTCTTCCGCTTGTTCGTTTTGCGCACCGATGTCCTTTCCCTCCGTCTGCGTATCTACGTTTGAGAGCAGTCGTAGCTCGCAATTATCCGTACCAATAGTCGTTGGGTCAAAGGTCGAGAAGGAAGAGCGGAGGGGAAAGGGAGAGGCAGAAGATCCCATTTCGCAAGTTAAGGATGTCAGCCGCGATGTGAGCAAATGGCGCGCGAGTTCCCTTGGAAACCCTGGCATAAAAGATCTGGGCCACGTGCTCCGTAGAATCCCAAAGTTGAGTGCGAAAAGGAAGAGAAGAAACGGGAGACGTGAAGGAGGTTGATCAAAAGGGAGCGTGATTCTATAATGGCGATTAATCGAGTTCGCTTTATTAAGCGAGGAAGGTTACTGTTATTGCAAATTTTTATCTTTAGACTCTAGGAAACGAATTTTCATTCTGACGTTAGGTAAAATAATTTATCGAACGACGATGAAAGAGAGTACTTTTACACTTATGAATGATACAATGTCATCGTGTAATTATTTCAAAGCTTTTCTGAGAGCCAAACATAACTTTCTTCATCTATTCTAGCGTTAAACTAAACTTGTCAGAATTAAAGGTTAATGTTCTCCATTTGGAATCTAAAGGTCAATGTGATATTGACGTTACTAAAAGGGTTGCAATAAAGGGATAACGAATGGGAATCATTCAGTACCCTCGTCGAGCACGCGAACTGGTCTATTCCTCCGAAATTGAAAAGCCACTTCTCTCCTTTCCCCTCTTTGAACTTTCCTCTTCCCACTCTGTTCTTCCACTTGGGTATTACACTAGAAATCGTATCTCACGGCTAACGTCACGCGGCAGTCGTTGAATTTAAGGGGCGTATCCCAATTTCTGGGTTAAGAGATATCACTCGCTATGTGAGCAAATGACGCGGCTCTTCCTCCCTCGGAAAATCCCTTTCTCGGAAAATTTTGGAAGCTCGATATCGTCCATTGCCTCCGCTTTCAAATCTTTACTACGGGCGATAAGTCGAAGGAAAAAGGACTCGCAAGGCACGACCTCTGTGAAAGATGGCCTTTTCATAATGAGCATATTCGAGAAATGGTTCGGAATTGATGTCAAAATTTAAAAATAATGACAGATATCGCGAAATCAATTTCAGTGTCGATTTAAAATCCTATAATAATGTTTAATTAAATATCATTGGAATAAAAATTATATTTCATTCCCTAAACTTTATTAATTTCTTCAAAGTGTCAAATAATGTTAAGATAATTTGTATATACTGTAACGGAGATTTCTGTTAATTGCGAATGTAAACAATCTCCGTCTCCTCCTTTATGGAAACAATCCCGAAGTCAACACCGACGACAATCGTTCCGCTTTGACGCGGCGAAAGCAACTTCGTTTTCTTGGGGTAACTTTCGAACGTGCCCGGACTATCTTTCTTCTTCTAAAAAAAGAGAGAAAGAGAGAGAGAGGCAAGATAAGAGCATTGCGAAACTTCGAGCAGCGAGCAGTTTGCTTCTCGCCGAAAGAAGAAGATGAGTCCGAACGCCCGTGGGATAGACAAACCGATACTCGTGAGTAGCTTTTGCCGAGGGCAACGTTAATTGCCCGAAGTAGAAAAACCCAACGGCCGGTTATCGACGCCCGCGTCTCCGT